TCAGCCCCTTAGAATCAGACTCATCTGGTTGTTTTGTGGAACCATCCACAAATCCCCATAATCCATTTCCTTCAACATAAAACTGGAAATGGAATTTCCAGAAAGCATAGTTTGTTCCATTGAACTTCACTGGTAGAATATCTCTTTTATCCATGGCATTTCAGCAAAGCAAGGAAAACTGAGAAAATAGAGCAGCCGAAGATTCAAAAAAGTCCAAAACTCGATGGAATAAATGTGTCCAACCACACGTCACAGAGAGGAATCAAAATCCAATAAAGAAACCAGTCACACAGAGTTCTCGAACTGATAACAGTCCAAAAAAGGTAAGTTTTCTGGACTGTCGAACAAGAAGAAGGGCAGAACACTCTTCAATAGGAATCCGAACCAAAAAAAAATTATAGATCTATATAGATCTGACCTGGGCGACTTCAGATCTGAAGTTTCACAGTGATTGGAGTAGCCGATTGAGAGAAAATGAAGAAACCCTATTTCTGATAGCGAGCTTCCAGAGAAATAGCAGTAGAGATGTGCCAATCAGTACAGCAACATACGAAATCTAAAACTGAAGAAGATGGGTCGATCTCACAGATCTAAAAGGATGTCAATCAAGGACAGGTTGAAAAACCTGCTCTGATACCATGTCAACTTGGGTCAAATCAGAGGAGAAAGAGTTGAGAGTGAAAAGGGTGTGTTCTATCTTGAACCACACGCCCAGAAATATTTAACTTATATATGAGATAATACAATGTATGGAAAGGACAGTTATGTGTCCTTGTCTTACAAGAAATAATAAAACAGAAGATATTGTACATAAGTTACAACATAAAAGGGTGGTCCCAAGGGCCAAAAAAGGAAATAAAATGTAAGAGACATAGATCAGTCTCTACAGCTAAGAGGAAAAATTGTCATATTGTTGAGATTATTAGGAATTCTTTTTTGCCTCTCAATTAGGTTTTGGGGAGATGTTCTTATTGTTACCTATTTGATAAATTCTATGCCTTTACGGTTTCTTGGTCTTAAGTCCCCTTTCAGTCTTCTTTTTGCTGATGAGGAGCTTTTTTTATTCCTTTTAGAGTCTTTGGTGCACTTGTTATATTCACATTCCTAGTTCCCAAAGACATAAGTTTGAACAAACACAAAGACAAAACATGTATCTTCCTTGAGTATGCCTCCACATAGAAGAGTTGTTGTTGCTATGATCTTAAAAGTAAAACTTGTTTTGTTTTCATCAGTGTCACCTTTACAAAGTTTGTGCCCTTATATCATATTCCTTGTAAGGGGGAGAATCCTATATTATTGAACCCCCCTCTTCTACCTCAAGTTCCTTGTAATAGTACTCTTGTTCTCCTCCTGCTCCTACTTCTACCCCTACTATTCTTTCTCCATCTACCACCCATTGAATGCAGGTATATCAAAGGTACACAGATAGGTTGTTTGTTTCCCTTCATCATCAAAGCCTCCTACACAACCAATTGTTGAAAAGACAATAGTACAGATCCCCATGCTCAACACTTAATGTTTTTTCTTGACCTAGACCTTCCCATTGCTACAAGGCATGACTTGCATCTAAGGGATACACATTGATGTATGGTATTGATTACTTGGAGATTTTTTCTCTAGTCACCAAGATGAATTCCATTTGTGTTCTTTTGTCCTTGGTAACTACATTTTCATCATCCTTATATCAATTTGACTTAAATAATTCTTTTGTAATGGAAATTTACATGAAGAAGTGTATATGTCTCCTCCTATGGGTATGTATGATAAGGAGATGTGAAGGAAAGAATGTTGGCTGAAGAATCTCTCTATTGTCTCAAACAATCTCTTAGAGCTTGGTTTGAGAGATTCCATAATGCCCTTGTTGGAGTTGGCTACACACGACCCAATTGGATTACACCCTCTTTTATGAAGAGGATAGATAATTTCATGACCATTCTTATTGTTTATGTTGATGATATAGATGTTAATGGAGATGATGTGTAGAAAATAGCAAAATCGAAGCAGTTTCTTAGCAAAAAATTTGAGATTAAAGACCTTGGTGAAATGTGATATTTCTTGGGATTAAAGTAGCAAGATCCAAAGAAGGTATCATTATCTCCGAAAGGAAGTGCGTCCTTGACTTGCTGGTAGAAACTATAAAACATGGGGCCAAGCCCGTTTCTACCCTCATTTACTATAATTACAAGTTATCTGCCTCAAATGGTGAGTTATTGTTTGATATAGGAGTGTTTCAAAGGCTTGTGGGGAAGCTATTGTATCTTTTATGGCTTGGCCTGACATTTCCTAGGCTGTGTGTGTTATTAGTTAATTTACATATGCTCCCAAAGACACTCACTTGGTGGCTACTGAGGGGGTTTTTTATGCTATTTGAAAAGTACACCTGGCAAAGCGATTTTGTTTTCTAATTATGGGCATAAAAGGATAAAGCATATACAAATGTAGATTGGGTAGGTTGTATTGATGATAGAAGATCTAGATTTGGATATTGTACTTCAGTTGTTGGCAACTTGGTTTCTTGTTAAAGTAAAGGCAAATGGTTGTGGCGAAGTCTTCAGTTGAGGCATAGTATAGAGCAAATGGTTCCTGGAGTGTTAAAATTGTTGTTGAGATCACTATTGGGAAAGCTGGGCACAATTCATGACAAGCCAATTCTGTTGTATTATAACAACCAAGCAGCTATCAATATGGCTTACAATCCATACAACATGATAGGACAAAACATATTGAGGTAGATAGACACTTCATAAGGGAGAGTTTTGCCTTAGGGAAGTTTGTCTACCTTTTATTGCATCTGAGGATCTATGGATGTTTTCACCAAGGAAGTTCCAAAGCCTAAATTACAGCAGTATATATGCAAGGTAGGCATGATTAACATCTATGCTCAACTTGCGGGGAAGTGTTGAGTTATTCGGCCATGCAAAGTCTTTTAGTGTTTCTCTCCTTTATTTTATACTAATGGGCCATGTAAGTCTATTTTATGTATTTATTCTTATAGACTCCCTATTAAGGGATTTCTTGCAATTATACATTTAATTATGTTTAGATATAATAAAGCTCGATTAGAGAGTTGGGAGATGGCTACAATTCCCTTTTTACCAATAACTGCAACTTTCATTAACAGTAAAATAACAGCTAATACAAACATACTTGCAAATAAAACAGCTTATCTCCATGACCAATAAGTTTACAATTGAACCCCATATAGATGATCTTTCCCAACCTCTTGTTTTGCCAAAGGATCAGCCATGCTGTTTGCCATTCTTTACACCTATTGTATTCTAACATCCATATCCCTAGTTATCCAATTAAACCTTTTTAGTTCATTTTTGTGCATCCATAACTCATTTCCTTTGCTTAGCAGTCACTTGATTACCAATTGAGTCTCCTTCAACAATCAGTTTATGCACGCTCAGCTCTTTTGCTCTAATTGTCCATTTGACGACTGCCATTACTTCAGCCTTCAATGAATCACCAATTCCAATCGGACTTGAATATAATGCCACTACATGTCCTAACTCATTCCTGAAAATTCCTCCAACACATGAGGGGCCTACTTCCATCAAAATTGAGCTCTATGTACCCCCACAAATGGAGGTGTCCAACATCTACTAATCCTGATTTTCAAGGATGATGTGTTAGCCACTTCCTAGTAAAATCCTCCACCTAGAAGTCCAAGAACAACTCTAGAGGTTTTAGTCAATGAGTAGCTCTAGTGGATGCACATTCAATCAATGCCTCCTTCCTCCTCTCTTTTTCTTTGAAGATTCTTGCATTATTGTCCTCCCAATGAATCTATATTACTGCAGCTCTAAGACTTCACATGATTCTACCTCTCTTCGTTGGTCAAGAAAGCATGGTGGGAGGCTGGTAGCAAGGAAGCTTGACATATTTGTTGGAGTTCACCTACAACTAAACAAAGCAAAGAGCCATTCCCAGATACAATTAGAAAAATGGACAGGAAATTAGTAAGTGGAAACATAATTCACCATCTGCCTCTTGCAAAAAACACACCAATTAGGAGATAAGCGCAAATAAGGTATCCTTTTCTGTAGCAAGTCATAAGTGTTAATTTTCTCATGAAAGACCTCCAAGTTAAAAGTTCCTACTCTAGGTGGAATGGGTCCTCCCCAAATCTCTTTCACTAGAAGAGGCTAAAGAGGAGGCAAGGGATAGGTAAAAGCCTTGAAAAAGGAACCATACAAGAAAGAACCTGAAGGGGAAAGGGTCCAAATTTGACTGTCAAAATTTTCAAGATCCAAGAAGATACCATCAAGGAATTTTATTAAATTTAGGACTAAAGGAACCTCAGAATCCCTTATCCTACATCAAAAAAGAGTGAAAATTGATCTTTCAAAGGGGTTGTTCTCACCCAAGTATGTTCCCGGAATTTGACTTGATTACCCATGCAAACATCATACCTGACAAAGGGAAGAAACTGAGGGAGAATTTCATTGATAGCCTTCCAAGGGGACCTCCTTCTAGATCTGGCAACAAACCCTATTTCATTCTCTCTTCTGTAATGATCTGAACTTTCTTTTCTTAATTCCTGCTTAATCTTCTAGATTAAACAACAAGATTCAGTGCTATTCTGTTTCACTACTAATCATTGACTAAGAAGAATTTCTAATTACTTGGTCAACATTCATAAAGTATTGTCACTTTTTGGCATTGTAAGATTTTCAAATGGTTAGCTTATCCTTTATTCTTATTATTTTACTTTCTTATGCTTATTATGTATGTCAAATTTACCATAAATTGGTGTTTGAATTCCTGGTTATGCATCCAAATGAAATTAACTCTATGATTGAATGGCCAAGTCAATTGGCAAAAATTAATTATAGACGTAAATTTGGTGTTTCAAAATGGTCATAGAGAACCAAAGAAGAGATCACTTTGTTTGGTATTGAGTCAATGACAATGACATATACCGTCCACTACAAGATTCCTATTTGGTTCGTGACTGCTAACATATGTAGAGTTCTTATTTGGTTACATTGCAGATTTCTATTGGCCTTGTGCTTGCCTTGAACTATCGCAATCCTTTCTTGAACCCATATGAGGAATTCCAGGTAAGACCAATATCCTCCACTTTAATGTTCTAAATACATACTTTCATTGATATGAAATTGTGATTATGGTGTCTTTAAACCTTGGGGCTGCATTTATTTTCCTATATCTTGTACATGAATAATGCATGATCCAAATTTCAAGAATGATGACATTACGTGGTTATGTGTATTGTAATATAATTCCAAAAGCCCATCTGTAAAATGTTCACCATAATTCGCAATATTAGCGATATTTGGTGTAATTTCCCTAGAATCTCCCTATTTTGCTAGGTATCAATATGAAATTTTCTAAGTCTTTTTTTTTCTTTACATCCCTGATATTTTTCCAATATTTTGGTTATATTTTAGATTTCATTGATAGACTATACATACAGTATTTTCTGATATTTCATCAAAATCATCATAACTTTATTTAATTTTTCCCTAAAAGAATAAATGGGGATTCACTGATTGGATGATTGGCTTAGTATATTAATGTAACTCACTTACTAAGTCACTATAATTCAAAAGAAAATGAAAAATACACAACTATAAAAGAGAATTCTAAATCTAATCAAAATGCAAATAACAAAAAGACAAAAGTCAAAATGACAAGTAAATACAATTGTTTTCTATGGTTTTTTGAGCCATGAATGTGCAGTTATACAATATTCCTGATTTTTTAGATTTTTCAAATTTCTTAATGAAATTAGCAAAATTATCTTTGTATGACGAAATGCCCATCAATATCGGAATTGCAAACCGTGATCATGATGCTTACACGAACATGTCCTAGAAACGAGAAAGATTTACATAATTTTAAAATGTATGTGCAAGAGGAGGTTCCATGGTGTATTGTGTGATCAGATAATGATTGACACTAGGGTAGAATTAAAAGCGAAATTATACCCATGGGGAGATACTCTAGTATAAAAGATATTGAAATTGTTAGTGTAGGGGTATTTCTGTCTTTATACTTATATTAAGGTTGCTGATCTGTAATGTTATGTTAGAATCAGTGCTCCTTACTTAAATAAGGGCACATATGTCTTTTCCACTATTTTTAATAATAAAAGCACATGTCTGGCCGAATGGGAGTAGGTTTTTGAATTCCAGTTCGAACCAGACTTTTCTCCTTTTCTGTCTCTCTTTCTTCCACCTTTCTACCTCTTTCTACGTGACTGATCTCAGACAAACAGAACTCCAAGGCAGGCCAAATCATAACATGGTATCAGAGCAACTCGAATCTGCCTAGATTTCTGTTCTCTACGCACCCAATCTAGGGTTTTCTCTTGATTTTCCTGCTATCAAGTGGAGATAAGGGAAAGGGCTGCAAAGGAGTGATCGCCCTCTTCCCTTGGAGGTTTCTATGCCTCTAGTTGTGTCTTGTGTGGACTGATTTTCTACTCGTGTGGTTGTTCTTCCAGTGATAAGGTAAGAGATTTCTATGCATGTTTTCTGTTATGAATCAAATAGGAAGTACGTTTCAGATCATATGCTGGGATTTCAGACAGTAGCGTGTTAGGGTTTATGCTATTTTTGGGTGATTCGAAGGAAGAGTTGTGATCATATAGTGGTGAGATTTCAGGTAGCCGTAGGGGTAGGGTCTGTGGTGTCAAGAGTACAATTCTCAGCAATAAAAAAAAGAGTGCTGAAATCAGTGTGACTACTATGATCTAGTCGAGTACAGTGTGTAGAATTCAGTGATAACAGAATTCAGAAAGTGTGCAGAACCGGTGATAACAGAATGGGAGATGACAGTGATAGTAAACCTAATGTGATGGTGCCTACTGACTACCTGAACGTTCAAATGACCTCCATTAAACTGAATGGAAAGAATTATGTGCCTTGGGCTAAATCTGTTGAAGTCTTTCTGAAGGCAAAGAAGGTAAAACACATAAGAGAAGAGAAACCCTCCACTGACTCTCACGAGTATGAAGACTGGGAACAAGAGGATGCACAAATTATCACGTGGTTATGGAATAGTATGGAACCCAGGATTAGTGTAAATTTCATGTTTCTTGACACTRCCAAARATGTGTGGGACCATGCTAAAAAATTGTATTCGGGTCAGGACAATACAACCGGAGTGTATCAGTTGTATCAGGAATACTTTAATCTGCAACAGGGCAATCAGAGTCTTGAGGAGTACTATGCCAATATGAGAAACATCCGTAATGAGTTGAATGTTTATCATTCTCTCACTTCTGATGTCAAAATTCAGCAACAACAGAGAGAACAACTTGATGTGACTCGATTTTTGGTGGGACTGAAATCTGAATATGAACCAATACGAGCTCAGATACTAGGAGGGTCAGCTCTCCCTTCTTTAGAAGAGATATTTGCTCGACTCCAGAGGACTTCTATTGGATCTACTGAGAACTCTAATATCTCAGATAGATCAGCCTTTGTTGTGTCGAGAGGCCGTGGTGCTAGAGGTGGAGCTCGGGGAGATCAGTCTGGCCGTGGTGGTAATAGTGGTCCGGTGTATGGCCAAAGTGGCGGTGGTGGGCCTACTTATAACCATGGTGGTGGTCGTACTGGAGGTAGAGATTCAGGGGGAGCCCGTGGTAGAGGACGTGGCTCGGGTCCGAGGAGGTGTACTCATT